CAGAGAGTGGGAATAAATGGACTGCTCTTTGAATGGAAATGGTGAAAGTCCCCCAAAGATTGGCACTGAAACCTATGCCTTTTAATTTGTTCATTAACAAACTAGAGCTAGGTGTGAGCAGCGAGGTGGCCAGGTTTGCTGAGGACATTGAATAGTTCAAGGTTGTTAAAACACAAAAGGATTGCGAAGAGCTCCAAAAGGACCTCTCCAAACGAGTGAATGGGCAGTAAAATGGCAAATGTGACCCAATGATTTTATGCTGGGGCAAAAAAATTTTAATTTCACATATATTCCCATGGGGTCTGAGCTTGATCAGGAACAAGACATTGGCTCATTGAGCTGTCGCTTGTCTCTTGCCCAGAAAGCATGGGTCTGGTTAGGCTTTCTGCTCATCTTGTGCTTTCTAGGCACAATCCCTAGTGGTTTCTGTGTGCGCCACTCCTTTCCCCAGGAAAACCTGCTCTTTACTGCTGAATTGGAGCAAACGTCAAGCCACGGAAAACCCGATCAGCATTTGCTCTGATTCAGGGGTAAATAGCGGGTTTCCCCAGGGAGAAGTGGTGAGACAAGAAGAACTGTGGACGAGCCCTGAGTGTTCAGCAGCTGTGAGAAAGACAAATTCCATGCTGCGGATCATTAGGAAAGGAATTGAAATTGAAACTGTTGATATCGTAAGGTCGCTATTGCAAATCGACGGTGGAAATACTGTGTCACCTCCAAAGGAAACTAGAGTTAGAAAAGGGAAACCAGCACCGATGAAGGGGATGGAGCAACACTTTGGACTTTTCAGTTTTGAAGGAAAGGTGAATAAGAGATGTCACAACAGAAGTTTATAGAAATCCGTGCGAGGCATAGAGAAAGTGGGGAGAGATAAGATGTTTCTCTTTCTCTCATAACACTAATGATGATGATGATGATGATGATGATGATGATGATGATGATAATTTTATTATTTATACCCTGCCCATCTGGCTGGGTTTCCCCAGTCACTCTGGGCGGCTTCCAACAGAATATTAAAATACAATAGTTTGTTAAACATTAAAAGCTTCCCTAAACAGGGCTGCCTTCAGATGTTGTCTAAAGGTCTGGTAGTTGGTTTTCTCTTTGACATTTGATGGGAGGGCGTTCCACAGGTCGGGTGCCACTACTGAGAAGGCCCTCTGCCTGCTTCCTGTAACTTGGCTTCTCACAGCAGGGGAACCGCCAGAAATTATTAGAGCTTCAGTTGGATTAGAGGGCAGAACCAAGGTGGCGAGAGAGTTTACAGCCTATTATTTCTTGGGCTTTTTTTTGCATTAGTGTGTTATCATAGCAAATGATGAAATACTGAAGAATGACCTTTCCTTTTAAGAATGACTGCTTTACTTTGTTGACTAAACTCTAAGATTCCTTCGATTTGTCAAACAGGCACTGAGCTTTGTGTGAACTAGGCTTTGTTTATCTTGCTTTCAGTTCTGTATTTTGTTACACACACAAACACACACACACATACACACACACACACACACTGTGATTTTATGGTGTGAACCACCCTGAGATTTACAGATGTAGGGCGGTACAAAAATTAATAATAATAATAATCAGTGTTACTCCAAATTAACTGATAAGCCACTTGGAAAATTTTGAGAAGTGCAAATTTCAAAGGATAGCTGTGCTTTGGTTAGTGTGTTGCCTCGGAAAGCCTTTAAATGCAAACTGAAACCAGTTCCTCCCACCATCCCTACAATGAGGTTTGACCTGATACCTAAGAGTTAGGCACAGCCCCAGCCATTCAGACAACCCTGCGGTGACTGTGCCTCAATCGGCATTGGGATTTCTTACAAAATGGCAGGCCTAAGTGGACTGGGTTCAGCATCTGATCAGCCTTTTTTCTTTTTATGGCAAACATCAGTGAGTCCATACCAGTATTTACCAAACCAGCTGTTTTTGGACGACAGTTCCCATAATCCCTGACACTGGGCCTGCTAGCTAGGGATGATGGGAGTTGTAGTCCAAAAACAGATGGAGACCCAAGTTTGGGAAACACTGGTATAGACCATGGGTAGGCAAACTAAGGCCCAGGGGCCGGATCTGGCCCAATCGCCTTCTAAATCCGGCCCGCGGACTGGCTGGGAATCAGATGGTGGCACACAGGAATTTGGAGCAAGGAATAGGCAGTGTTAAACACTTCCCACAGACTTTTAAAAGACATTCTGTTTAGGGAAGCTTTTAATGTTTAATAGACTATTGTATTTTAATATTCTGTTGAAAGCCGCCGAGAGTGGCTGGGGAAACCCAGCCAGAGAGGCGGGGTATAAATTTATTATTATTATTATTATTATTATTATTATTATTAAAAAGGTAAAGGTACCCCTGCCCGTACGGGCCAGTCCTTTTTTTTTTTTTTGGCCCTCCATAGATATTTATTGAGATTTTCAAAATGTTACAAAATATAAAAAGAAAAAAGAAAAATACAAAATCAAAATAGTTAAAAACAATTCCATCTTCATTTACTTAACTTTCATTTGCTTGTTTCCTGGACTTCTTCACCCCTCCCTTTTTTGTATTCCAATTCAATACGTACGGGCCAGTCTTGACAGACTCTGGGGTTGTGCGCCCATCTCACTCAAGAGGCCGGGGCCCAGCGCTGTCCGGAGACACTTCCGGGTCACGTGGCCAGCGTGACAAAGCTGCATCTGGCGAGCCAGCACAGCACACGGAAACGCCGTTTACCTTCCCGCTGGTAAGCGGTCCCTATTTATCTACTTGCACCCGGGGGTGCTTTCGAACTGCTAGGTTGGTAGGCGCTGGGACCGAGCAGCGGGAGCGCACCCCGACGCGGGGATTCGAACCGCCGACCTTTCGATCGGCAAGCCCTAGGCGCTGAGGCTTTTACCCACAGCGCCACCTGCGTCCCATTATTATTATTACCCAGCCCCAAAAAATCCTGCTGCCACTGGCAAATCCAGGTGTGATCTAAGACAATGGGAGTCCCTGCACCTACCAGATATCAACACTTGGAGGCAAGGGAAGAGTGTAGAATTGGGGTAGGTGTCCTTTCTTGGGACGAGGGTAACCGCACTCCACCTCTGGAGACAGGGCCGGCCTGCCCATGAGACAGACTGAAGCAGATACCTCAGGCGGGGGAATCCCATGGGACGGTGGTGTCGCCTGTGGCTCATGCGGATGCTTCCAGTGAGAGCTCATAGAATGCCCATGAGATCTCACCAGAAACCAATGCTACAGCTACCTCAGGCACGCAACCCCAGAAAGCAAAGCTTCAGCAGGGACGCCACCTTCCCGTTTCGCCTCAGGTGGTAAAACGGGTTGGGATGCCCCCTGCATGGACAGACCTCCTGGGTCTACCCTCCCGGCACAATCATTAGTGGGTCTGCCATTCCCTCAGCTGCCAAACCAATGGCCCAACGGCTACGGCTGCGTCGATGACTAGAATGTTTTGTCAACAACCAGGTGCTTTGCAAGACCCAGCGGCGCGCACCCATCTCCTTCATGAGTCACAGGAAGGACGGCGACTTCCTTTCAGAACTGGATGTTCTGCTCTGATATGAAGTGCTGCAGTTCAAAAAGCGAAACCGCTGTTGCTCTGTTTTTGCCTCTTTCACAGGGAGATGAAAGCGTGTGTTTCTCTTCCACTACCGCTTTGGCCCAGTAGTGATGACAGGAAGTGAGAGCTGGACCATAAAGAAGGCTGATCGCCGAAGAATTGATGCTTTTGAATTCTGGTGCTGGAGGAGACTCTTGAGAGTCTCATGGACTGCAAGAAGATCAAACCTCTCCATTCTGAAGGAAATCAGCCCTGAGTGCTCACTGGAAGGACAGATCCTGAAGCTGAGGCTCCAATACTTTGGCCACCTCATGAGAAGAGAAGACTCCCTGGAAAAGACCCTGATGTTGGGAAAGATGGAGGGCACAAGGAGAAGGGGACGACAGAGGACAAGATGGTTGGACAGTGTTCTCGAAGCTACAAACATGAGTCTGACCAAACTGCGGGAGGCAGTGGAAGACAGAAATGCCTGGCGTGCTCTGGTCCATGGGGTCATGAAGAGTCGGACACGACTAAACAACTAAACAACACCTCTTTGGCAGAAAGTCCAAGAGGCAGGGATCTGTGGTGTAGTAGAGGAGATGCACAAGGTCCAGAATGGGAACAATGATACTATCTGCCAGAATGCCCAGGGTCTCCTTAGCTCTGGCTAGTGAATGCAGTGATAATGAGGCTTTCAAGTTCGTTTGAGACAGATAAGCATAGAGAAGGCATAGGCAAACACAGCCCTCCAGATGTTTTGGGACTACAATTCCCATCACCCCTGACCACTGGTCCTGTTAGCTAGGGATCATGGGAGTTGTAGTCCCAAAACATCTGGAGGGCTGAGTTTGCCTATGCCTGGCCTAGAGGTAGTGTGGCTATTTTTAAACACAGCTTCATTCAGGAAATCTATGCCATAACCAGGACCTTGAAAATAGCAAATTCCTTTGAAATGCACCAATGTGTACATTTACGGTACAAGTCGTCTAACTCAGAAGTAATAGAGTTCAGGGGTGCTGCTCTCAAGGAAGCAGGTATAGGATTGTAGCCTTACAGTACAAATTTGGAATCCTAGAACTGTAGAGTTGGAAGGACTACAATTCCCATCATCAATAGCTAACAGGACCAGTAGTCAGGGGTGGTGGGAATTGTAGTCCCAAACATCTGGAGGGCCAGAGTTTGCCTATGCCTGACCTAGTCCAACTCCCTGAGAAGTAATGTCTACTGAGAAGTAAGTCCTATTGAATTCAGTGGGTCTTACTACCAGGAAAGCAGGTTTGGATTACTGCAGTCATAACCCCGCTTACCTGGGAGTAAGCTCCACTGAGATCAGAAGGACTTGTTTGCAAGTAGACATGACTGGGATCACACTATGAGACTGGAATTCTAAGCCTACTTACACGGGAGTAAATCCCATTTAATTCAGTGGGATAGTAGATTACGGCTTGCGCCGTAAATGCACATGGAATGGAATTTACTCTGAAGTTTCCTCGATGTCTTCAGACTTCTCTTTTATGAACGTGAGCTGGTTAAATGGAATAGCTCTGAAAGGGGGCATATACTCCCACGCAGAGAAAGATCTCCCCCTTTAAACTGTCAGCAGAGGATATGAGCGTCCATTTAGCGGTAGATATTGTGGTTTTGTGTTTAAAAAGCATTCACACAGGAAACAGTGCAAACTGGTCAGGTTGGCATTAGAGTTTCCACAAAAAAGAGGGTAATGTCAAACCATGTGATCAAGGAAAAAATGGTAATATATTGGCTATGCACAGATAGGTGGCAAATAAATAGATACACACAGAGAGAGACAGAGAGAAACAGAGCCAGTTTTCTGATCTCATTTGAATAGGTGCTAATGCAGCTTCCTAATTTGCATGTGATGGTATCAGGTCACAGGACAGCATTAAGGGACTCTCCCCACCTACCTCCAGAAACCTGATACTTTCCCACATGGAAAACCCATGACATCACCCCACCCCTGGGAGGATGCAAAATAGGAAGTTGAAAGCCAGATAATACTGTGCAATATCAGAAATCAGAGCCAATTGCAAAAGAGGTATCTCATGCTAACCAGCCAGTATCTCCCTGTCCCTGGGTCTTCCTGACCCCGTTATATGCCTGGTGAGATGAACACAAAACAAACCCTTGAATGTAGCGTGGCTTATGCTTTTCGGAATGACTGCTCTAGCAGGAGAATGAAAACAACAGAGGGGCTTTTGTAGCACTTTAAATCCTAATTGATATGCAGAATGAGCCTATGCCTGTTTACTTGCAATGCTGTGCTCAATGGGGATTTCTCTTTAGTAAGTGTGTTTATCATGCGCTGCCTTATCCAGGCACAAGGGACACGGGTGGCGCTGTGGTCTAAACCACTGAGCCTCTTGGGCTTGCCGATCAGAAGGGCGGCGGTTCGAATCCCCATGCCGGAATGAGCTCCTGTTGCTCGGTCCCTGCTCCTGCCAACCTAGCAGTTCAAAAGCATACCAGTGCAAGTAGATAAATAGGTACCGCTGTGGCGGGAAGGTAAATGGCATTTCTGTGCGCTCTGGCTTCCCTCACGGTGTCCCGTTGCACCAGAAGCGGTTTAGTTATGCTGGCCACATGACCCGGAAAGTTGTCTGAGGACAAACGCTGGCTCCCTTGGCCTGAAAGCGATATGAGCGCCACAACCCCATAGTCACCTTTGTCTGGACTTAACTGTCCAGGGGTCCTTTACGTTTACCTACCTAGATGGGAGCCCATTTCATCAGATGCGTGAAGCATTTCTAAAGGGACCCCTGACCATTAGGTCCAGTCATGACCGACTCTGGGGTTGCGGCGTTCATCTTGCTTTACTGGCCGAGGGAGCCAGCATACAGCTTCCGGGTTATATGGCCAGCATGACTAAGCCGCTTCTGGCGAACCAGAGCAGCACATGGAAACGCCGTTTACCTTCCCGCCAGAGCGGTACCTATTTATCTACTTGCACTTTGACGTGCTTTTGAACTGCTAGGTTGGCAGGAGCAGGGACCGAGCAACGGGAGCTCACCCCGTCGCGGGGATTCGAACCGCCGACCTTCTGATCGGCAAGTCCTAGGCTCTGTGGTTTAACGCACAGTGCCACCCACATTTCTACTTTGCTGATATATCCATGCACAGGTACCGTATGTGAGAGAACTTGCGCTTTAATGCTCTGTGTCTGAGTGTTGTTGTGTTTTGATTTGAGCTTTCCCCTGGCTCTTTAAAGCTGAATCAGAGCAAATGTCAGTTTGGGATTTCCACTGATTGAAGTTTGCTCCAATTGAGCTTTAAAGAGCAGGTCTTTGTGGGGAGAGCTCCGGAGGAAAAAATAAAGGGTGCTCAGACACAAACTCTGAGTGTGTATGTGATTCAGAGAGCTAGAAACTATGAAAGGCAACCAGTACAAGTTGCTGTCACTGCTAAGCAAAGCTCAAATGCATCTTCTGGCTAGCTCAATTGGTTAGAGCGTGGTGCTGATAATACCAAGGTTGCAGGTTCGATCCCCACACGGAACAGCTGCATTACAGGGGATTGGACTAGATTATCCTCAGGGACCCTTCCAACTCTACGATTCTGTGGTCTCTCCAAACTGGCTGAACATAGCTGTCAACGTTTCCCTTTTTTAAAAGGGAAATTCCCTTATTCCAAATAGGATTCCTTGCAAGAAAAGGGGAAAGTTGACAGCTATGTGGCTGAATAGGCAGTAAAACGGCAAAAATCCAATTCAACACCGGCAAGCATAAAGGGGTGGGGGAGGGAAATCTAATTTCACAAAATACAGTTATGGTGGTGATGACCACAAACAAGACCTTGAGGTATATGGAATTATGCACAGTATAGAGAAAGTGGATGGGCCTCTCTCAAAACACTAGAACCCAAAGGCTAAATGTTAGATGAAACAGGACGCTGAGTGCTTCCTTCACACAGTGCATAGCTATAGTATGGAAAAATGCTACCCCAAGAGGCAGGGATGGCCACCAACCTGGATGGCTATAAAAGATGACTAGCCAAATTCATGGAGAATGGAGTTATCCATGGCTACTAGTCATGATGGTTATGTTCTACCTCTGATGTGGGGGACAGCATGCCTCCAAAATCACAAGGAGCTGCACTTGAGCTCAGGGGTCTGGCTTGCGGGTTTCCCCCCAGGCATCTGGTTAACTGCTGAGAGAACAGGATGCTGGACTAGACGGGTCATTGGTCTGATCCTGCAGAGCTCTTCTTATGTATACAAGATACATACCGTGGCCATTTACAACAGCAGCAAGTAGCACTGACAAGACTCTGCTGGGTACCATATTTTTCGCTCTATAAAACGCACCAGAACATAAGATGCACCCAGTTTTTGGAGGAGGAAAACAAGAAAAAATAATATTCTGAATCTCAGAAGCCAGAACAGCAAGAGGGATCGCTGTTCTGGCTTCTGGGATAGCTGTGCAGCTGTGCAGTAGCTGCGCAGCCTGTATTCGCTCCATAAGACGCACACACATTTCCCCTTACTTTTTGGGAGGGCAAAAGTGAGTCTTCTAGAGCAAAACATACGGTAACTTTAGCCCCTGCAGTGAGCAAGAAGTCCCCAGTCTCGATTAAGCTCTAAAGCAGGGGTCAGCAAACTTTTTCAGCAGGGGGCCGGTCCACTGTCCCTCAGACCTTGTGGGGGGCCGGACTATATTTTTTGGGTGGGGAATGAATGAATTCCTATCCTCCACAAATTACCCAGAGATGCATTTTAAATAAAAGGGCACATTCTACTCATGTAAAAACACACTGATTCCCAGACTGTCCGCGGGCCGGATTTAGAAGGCGATTAGGCCGGATCCGTCCCCCGGGCCTTAGTTTGCCTACCCATGCTCAAAAGGTATCAAATCAAAGATGCTGATAAGTTTTAGGTTGGGAACGTTGCACTGGAATCTCCCTTTGAAGAATGTGTATGAACTTTCAGGGAAGCAGCAGACTGATGGGAGCAGGCGTCTGTTCACAAGAGCTTATTCTGCAACAATCCTGTTAATCTTTAAACTTCAAAGGTCACCCACTTTCCTACCTGGAGATACCGGGGTTTGAACCAGGACCTTCCTGCTTGCAAGGCAAACACTCTACCACTGAGCTATGGCTCTGGATAGGACTATAAGGTCGGAGCCAGCATTTATTTTGCTGGCATGTTCTTCTGATGGTTCAAGTTGAGAAGGAGCTCTTGAAGCATGTCTGGAGAGCTCACAACGAACCCCCTTTCTATATTAACCATCCTGTCTGGTTATCTTCTCGAAGAAGAGGATATTGGACCCGATGGGTGTCTAATCCAGCAAGGACCTTCATACATTAGTTCTGTCTTTGGCCACACATAACAACAGCCACTACTTACATTAGAACTCTGCGCTCCGGCCCAAATTCAGCTTCATAGAAACCATTTTCGCAGTCTTTTCCAACCAGCCGATGGGGGTGAGGTCTGTATGGCTCGTTCTTGGTCACCAACGTTATTCTGATTTTTATTTTCCCGAAGTAGTTGAACACCTGCAAAGGTGGAGAGGAATTGTCACGTTCAAGGTGCAACCAGCTGCCCTGATTACAAGAACCATCTCCAGGTTCTATTTCAATATGCTGGTTCTAACCTTTAAAGTCCTTCACAACCTTAGGCAGCAAGGAAACGCTGACACGGCAACAGGTAAACGCTGAAAGCAGGGCCTTCGCAACTGTGGCCCCTGAAATATTTTGTTCCCAAGGAACTATAATAGAACCATAAAATTGCAGAGTTGGAAGGGATCCTGAGAATCATCTAGTCCAACCCCCTTGAATGCAGGAATATGCAGCTGCCCCATACAGGGATCGAACCTGCAACCTTGGTGTTAGCATCACCACACTCTTAAGGGATTCAAAAGGGATTGTCAAACCTGGTAGCTAGTCTTCTTGCTATGACTTTTAAAAAACATTCTAATTAGTAATTTGTATTTATTGTTTCATCTGGTTTTGACCTTTAAAGCCCTATGCGGCCTAGGACCCACGTACCTACTGGACCACCTTTCCTGGTCTGCCCCGCGGAGGACCTTAAGGTCCACAAATGACAACATTTTGAATGTCCCAAGTCGCAAGGTGGTTAGATTGGTCTCAACTAGGGCCAGGGCCTTTTCACTACTGGCCCCGACTTGGTGGAACGCTCTGTCACAAGAGACTAGGTCCCCGCGGGACTTGACATCTTTCCGCAGGGCCTGCAAGACAGAGCTGTTCTGCCTGGCCTTTGGTTTGGACTCAGTCTGACCCTTATGTCTTCCCTCCCCTTACGGTTTTGATCTATGGGCTACTTTTAAAATGAGGCTGCATTTTAAATTGGATTTTAACCTGTATTTTAAATTAGGTTTTTTTCACTATTATGTTTTTACTGTAATTTTACTGGTGTTAGCCGCCCTGAGGCCGGCTCTGGGTGGCGTATAAATAAATATTATTATTATTATTATTATTATTATTATTATTATTATTATTATCACTGCTTAGGGCAAGCATATGAACAAATATGAACAAATAAACAGCAGTACACAAGCAACTGAGGAGGCCAAACTACAGGTGCCACTGAACATGTGGTTAAATATCACATGTATTTTCTTCCAACGAACAGGAGAGCTGCCATTTCTGCTGGTTCCGCTTTTAAGCTCTCACTTTCCTGCCTGCTGCAGTCCTGCAGTTTGGCCATCTTAAATGTGGGACAAATAGAAGCAGAGTTCGAAGGGACCCCAAGGGTCATCTAGTCCAACCCCTGCAATTTAGGAATCCTGCCCACAGACATCTTTGGATGGGCTCGAACCACCAGCCTTCTGGCTAACAGCCAGAGGCGACAGTGAGTGGAGAAATGAATGTGAATTTTGTATGTGTACAGTAGAGTATCTTCCACAAACATCTACAGACTCTTTTTCGAGCTTCTATCCAGGCAGGCAAGACCCATGACCAGAGTTCAAGGACACATTCCAGCCAGGCGAAAACACTAATGGAGCATGAAGGATGTGGCCTGGGGAGAGAGCATGTGTCCAGGGAGGAGGAATGGCCAAGTGAGAGTCCTGGGGGCCAGATGGAGCAGCATGGAGGGCTGCCTTTGGCCCCCAGGCTGAGCTTGCCCACCTGTGTCCTAGAGATCAACTTGGGGCACTTCCAATCACATACCGGTGACTTCAGAGTGCCCGAGTATAGTTGATTAGGAGGCGCTGTGTCAAGAAGCCCGCTTCCCCCCTAAAGATCAGAGTTCTTACGATAAGGAAAGTGACAGGAAAATGCACTGGGAAGTTGAGATAGCACTTGCTTTGAGACAGCATCATCTAACCTCCCCATAAGCAAATCAGAATGAAGGTTCAATAAGCAGGTGGTCTGGAAGGGCTCTTCTCCTGCAGTGCTATACCTAAGAGCTGTTTGACAGTGGAGCAGACTTCCTCAGGAGGCTGTGGACTCCCCTGGAGGTTTCTTAAGCAGAGGTTGGATGGTCACCTGTCATGTATGATCTAGTTGAGATTCCTGCATTGTAGGGTGTTGGACCCTCGGAGTTCCATCCAACTCAATAATTCCATGATTCTATTATTCTACTTCAGGCACAGGCAAACTCGGCCCTGTTTTGGGACTACAACTCCCATCATCCCTAGCTAACAGGACCAGTAGACAGGGATGATGGGAGTTGTAGTCCCAAAACATCTGGAGGGCTGAGTTTGCCTATGCCTGTTCTACTTACTTACTGAATTCATTGGCCCTTACTTCCAAGTAGACATGCATATAATTTGGCTGTTAGTGGCCTTTAGAGCCTTACTCCCATGTGCCCACTCAACCACTTTGATTGGCAGAACTGGCAGGTGCCACGTAATATCCGTTCTGCATTTGTAAGCATTTGATCATATAGTGTGGCATCATCGATTCTTACACTTTGGGACCTGTGTCTGTTGATATCAGGAAAGCCCCTTCGTTGCAATATTTTCAGCACCTGCTAAAATATTCTTGTTTAGACAAGCCTACTCAGATGCTTAGGAAGTTGAGGTAATTTTAATCTGTTTTAGTAGTTTAACTTTCTTATGTTTTAAAGTGTTGTTGCACACGCCACGCCCCCCATTTTATTGCATTATCTATTTTGTAAAACAATTTGAGGGTTGTTTCTTTCTTTCTTTGTTTTACAATCAAGCAAAATATGAAATAAGTAAATAAGTAAGTAAATGAAACAATAAGCATTTGCCTCTTGGGCAAAACAACTCCTGGTTCCTTTTTAAAAGAAGGGAAAGACAGAAACACAATAACGAAGAGGAATACCTGTATTGCCGGGAAAGTCCGATTCATATCGCTGCTGTGTTCTCCCGGAATGCTTCCTGCTGATCTCCCCTCACATTTGTACCGGAAGCGCATCCCTCTCTGTCTAGGCTGCTCACATATTTCAATGTATGGTTCATGACCATCTTTGGAAAGAAAGAAAACAGTGCAACGTTTTATTTTTTTAAAAAGGTAAAGCATTCCCTTACAGCAGGCAGAAAAGTCTACAAACAGGGGATGTAGGAATCAGGTCTCTCTCCCGTTGCAAATTCTGCAATATGCATTTTCATACACCTATTTATACCCGTAGAGCAGTGTTTCTCAAACTTGGGTCCTCAGACCACAATTCCCATCATCCCTGACCACTGGTCCCACTAGCTAGGGATGATGGGAGTTGTAGTCCAACAATAGCCGGGGACCCAGTACAGAGAAAAACGTGTCCTTTTGCTTTATACTGGGTAAAGCCACTGGTCCCTATAGCTCAGTGTTGTTCACATTGACTTGCAGAAGCACCCCAGGGCTTCAAGAAGGGGTCCTCTCACAGTCCTACTTGGAGATGTCAAGGGGTTGAATCTGGAAACTTCCGTACTCTGCCACAGTTATCACAGCCCTTTGCTTAGTTGCGGATAAGCCAGAAAACTCCTCTGATCTTAGAAATCAGGACTGATAGGATTAATTAAGACTGTCTGAACAGGTGCTTCTCTCAACTTTGGAACTATGGTTTAAATAAGGATGATCTGGGAGCACATGATAAATATTTCTCTGTGTTGTTGTTTTTGCTAAGGGGAGCTATGCTAGCTAAGAGTATCTGCGAGTCATGGTTCTCCGAACGGATTGCTGTTTCCCGCAGCCTCACGTGTCATATTGATGTGTAGCCTGAAAGTGGATTTGTGAAGCAAAGTACAAGCGCATGTCAGAAATATATACGGGAAAGTGTGCCTTGTCTCTTCTGAAGCAGAAGCGATGGGAAACACTGTCCATTGTCCCTACTGAGAAACCAGCTCCTCCTCTTTCTGAACTGTTTCTTGCGCTAGCTATTCAATATCAGAACAGCTATGAGAAATTAACAATCGGTAGCTAAGTTTGCTTTTTCCCTCTTCTCTCCTCATCTCTTTTTCATTTTATGCTGTGTCTTTTAAATTGTAAACTTGAGGGCAGGGATTGTCTTGTTTTTACCGATCTTATATAAGCCACTGGAAGCCCTTTCATCTAAATAGTGATGTGTGGTGTTGTTGTTTTAAATGCTTTAAACCACAGCAAGTCACACACATATTTCTGCACATCTTTTGAATATGCAACTTTATTTGTCAGATTATTATTATCATGTGCGTTTATCATATCATGGATTAATTTTATGTGGTTCTGCTTGAGGGAAAACCGGTCTTCTTAAAAAATATATATGTTAAAACCAAAAACCAGTCCCATCATTAGGAAGGAATGGCTTGATTGAGGCTAGCTGGATTAATGAAATTCAAAAATCAGCTTTTATTATACAGCCACAGACCTGATACAAGCAAATCAAAATCGTTAATAGAATTGTCTCATCCAGCTGCTGCATTGCTGCTTAAAAACTCTGTCTTTTTGGCCTAAAATCAAGAGGCAGAGGGAGAGAGAGAGAGAGAGAGAGAGAGAGAGAGAAGGTGGGAGAGAAAGTTATTTGGTTTCTCATCCTGATGATGACATCACCTGCACTTCACTAAGTCAAGAACCAACTTCTTTCCAACCACTTGATCTGTGGTTGGAAATTAATATCACCAACAGTGTATATTATGTGCCATAGCAGAACTCAGTGTTCAAAGACGCAGTCCAAAGGCATAGCTCAGTTGGTAGAGATTGAGACTCTTAATTTCAGGGTTGTGGGTTTGAGTCTCACGCTGGGCAAAAGATTCCTGCGTCGAAAGGGTTTGACCCCCTTCCAACTCTATAATTCTATGTTCAAATTCATATTTACTTTGAAAAAAGAAATCTGTGCTTTCCCCGTTTTCTTCAGGACACGGTCACCAACAGAGCAACTAGCAGAGCCCTATGCATGCAGCCTGTTAAGGCCAAATTTATACATTTCAGCAGAATCCAGTGATAAGGTACTGCACTACACCACTTAAGCTGCAGACCTAGGAAAGCAACCCACCAGGGAGGGGCAGAAGTTTTAAGGGCTGGGGTAGATTCTGTTTGAATAGGCATACCTATCTAATTCACATTTTCTGAAACAGTAAGGGACTCCTGACCATTAGGTCCAGTCGTGGCCGACTCTGGGGTTGCGGCGCTCATCTCGCTTTATTGGCTGAGGGAGCCGGCGTACAGCTTCCGGGTCATGTGGCCAGCATGACTAAGCCACTTCTGGAGAAACCAGAGCAGCGCATGGAAACGCCCCTTACCTTCCCGCCGGAGTGGTACCTATTTATCTACTTGCACTTTGATGTGCTTTCAAACTACTATGCAAAATGAACAACATTTGCATTTTTTCGTGTTTGGCACTGAAATCTCCCAACCAAGTAAGGTGTACACAAAATGCACCATGGTAGGGCAAAGTGATCATCAACCGACAGGCATATTGGTGAAAATAACATACAGAAACACATTCTGTCTGGGGAAGTTGATTTGCAGAAACGTGAAAATCAGGCGAAACCTCACACATATATGTAAATTGGGAGAACTTCCCACCAAGTTTCAGAGCAAAAAGAAAATCACAAACCGATGTGGAGAATGGAACTTAATACTGGATCAATGAAAAATGGAGAAGCTTTTTTCTATTGCACAACCCTAGTGCTGAACGCTTGGAATTCACATGTCTGAAGCAAAGACAGCTTTACTTCAGAGTATTTTGGAAACTTCCCCTTCTTTATCAATGTAACCATTACAAAGGGGCAATTAGCTAGAAGCATATGGCTTTACTAGGAAGTTAGAAACTTCCCCTATTGTTTGAAAAGGGGGGGGGACACCCTCCCATAACAGGCCGCTAACCAGCTTAAAATATATTGTCTGCAGTTGGAGATACACATCTTAATAGCGCTCTAAATCACCCATTCAATTGTCACTCTTCCACAAATCCTGAAATCTGGTAGCTCTTTACTTGAATAAGCAGATTATACATGCACCCGGAACAAGTTCAATACAGGTTTGGTTACATTTTTGGAGTTCCTTTGTAACTGACTGCTAATTAGTGCCAGGAATACCGAAATGAACCTTTATGCAATGAACCTTTATACAAGTCCTCTGAGGCACAGATTCTAAACAAAGTTGCTTGAAGATATGCATTTTGATGTGACATTTCCCAAAAATGTGTTCATTAGCATTTTTTTTTGTTTTTTAGAGGTTTTATTGTAAGGTGCTTAAACTGAGATACTTGTTTAATGTGTAGATATTTGGGAACTATGCTGGCCTATGACCATAATAAAGATTTGGATTGGATTGGATATTTGGGAAGGGGTTTAAGAGGGGCAGGGAATTAGTATCCACCCTATATAAATACATCAATCTTCCTAAAATAAAAATTTCCTAAGGCGCTGAATTGTACCTCCAACTATTACTGGCTTTCCAGACCATGATGAGGAAATGGAAAAACAAGGTCAAAGCAACAGCTCAAAGTACCAAAACATCAGCAGAAACAATGAACAGCTTCAGGCAAACAAATTTGTACGGCAAAGGCTGTAGCTCAGCGGCAGAGCTCATGTACCTGTAAGCAGAAGGTCACAGGTTTGATCCCTGGCATTTCCAGCTCAAAGGACCAGGCACAAAGGTGATGGGGAAGGTGATGGCTGAGATCCTGGACAGATGCTGAGTAGACAATACTGAGCTAGAAAGACAACAGTCTGACATTTAAGGCAGCCTCCCATGGTATCTAGACAACTGAATCGCTCAGTATTGTCTACACTGACTGGCTGCAGTTCTCCAGGATGTCTGATGGTGGCCTTCTCCCAGTCCTACCTGGAGATGCTGGGGATTGAACCTGAGACCTTCTGCATGCAAAGCAGGTGTTCTACCATTCAGCTATGGAGCATAGCTGTCAACTTACAGATTTGAAAATAAGGGACCAGCAGCCTTGAAAATAAGCGATCAGCAGCCAAAATAAGGGATTTTCAGAGCACAGCTATGTTCAACTTCTGAGCCCCTCCGAGCCAAAGGCAGAAAGCCCAGCCAGCAGCCAAACAAAGCCTCAAGCAGTGGTTCCCACAGCGCAGCAACCCGGCAAAGGGGATGCAGCAAGGAAAACCACCGTCACCTCTCCGCTGGGAAGCGCTGAGCAAAGGCGAGTCCCCAGGCAATGCGGCCGATTTGATCGGCACAAGACATGCAAGCTCCACCCCCCCAGTCGTTCTTAGACTCCTTATTGGGTGAGCAACGCAGCCAAGCAACACAGTTGGAGCCTCCCTGGCTGGCAGGCAGGGAGGGAGAGGAGCTGCTTCCTTTGAAACCTGGGAAATTTAAGGATCATCATCAATAAGGGACAGCAGCGGGACACAGCGCTGGCATAAGGGACTTTCCCTCCAAATAAGGGACAGTTGACAGCTATGCTATGGAGAGAGTGGTGGTGCTCAGCACAATGAAGAGATGCAGAAAGGGACAGCAGTGTCCCTGATGCAGCAATGTTTATACTTGAGTGGAGTCATTTACCATCTATCCTGTAATGCAGCAAGGGGTTTAACGGTGTGGTGGTGACAACAAAGCTTCTGGCTGTGATTGGCTAAACCAACCTTCTGTCGAGGAAGCTGGGGCTGAACTGATTTGGTTCTTAAGATCTAGCTGTGCTTTTTGACCTCTGTCTGCCCCTGGGCTGCCTCCTGGAGTTCCTCTATTCCTAGCTAGCAGAATGGTGGAAACTGTAGTCCAAAAACAGCTGGAGACCCAGGTTTGGGAAACCCTGCTCTAGGAACTAGGTTGAACAGAGAGTGGCAGGTGTAAAACGGGGAGTGTTGCAAGCTAGCCTTGCTGTCAATGCAGCTCCACACATACAGTATCTTATTTAATGGAGTTACCACCCTTTGGCCTCCTAGGAAGGACGTGATGGCAAAACATGATGGAGCCCAGGCTGGTCCCATTTTGGGCCAGAGCAGGAACAACTGCAGGGAGCTTGATTCCCTTCCTCCCTGCCATGAACATAGCTGTCAACATTTCCCTTTTTTAAAGGGAAATTCCCTTATTCTGAATA